CTGTTGAACACATTACCTCACAAACACTAAGGATGTTGCAGGACAGGACTAATCTTGCTTATTCCCATGTACTTGTAATGTTATAGCACTAGTATATTGGCATTGCAGTTGTGTCAGTGATAATTGTAGAGTGTTTTTTCTCTTTTCAGACTGGCACAGGTTATGCATTAACAGTTTTGGTCAGATGTGGTCTAATGTTTTCTGTATGTGTGCCCTTTGTAAGTTGCTCTGGATAAGAATGTCCACAGATGAGTAAATAAGTACAGGCAGGAAACTGGGTACGACTGGCAAGGCTGCCTCTCTCTCCCTCTCTCTCTGTCTCTCGCTCTCTCTCTCTCTCCTGGGTTATCACCCCTCTGCCTTGTTCCTTTCTCCTGCCATTTCCCATCACCCTCTACAGCTGCTAAGGTCACCAAGGGCCAGGCCATCTCTCAGTCCTCTCTGGCAGTAGCTAACATGCAGATGTGTGTCCGGCCATGTGAGCTGGCGAATTTGAATTTGTGAAAATTGTGAATTTTTGAAACAAGAGACTGATAATAAGAGGTGAAATTCTTGGTGTGTGGCCACAAAATATCATTTTTAAAAAATTTTTTCCTCCCCTCTCTGATTCACTCCAACACCTCAGTCTAGCCCCTCCATTGTTTGGCTGTGGAAGAAGTACTGTTGACCTGTGGGACATCCCCCCCTCCTGGAATCCTACACACGGCTGGACCACAGGAGAGCAGCACGGAAGCCATCCCGCCCATGACAGACAACCTACATCAGTCCCGCCCCCCCAGCCCCGCCCGGAACCTGACACCCCACCTTCATCTTCCCTCCACTCCTCTCCGCTGCCACAGCTGTGCTTTCCCCCAGGTGCCGCAGCGTCAGCCCCAAAGGTCAAAGGTCAAAGCCCCACCCCAGCACTAGACTGAGGGAGGGCACACTGAGGACAAGGAGGGTAGCGGGGTGGGGTAACTGCTACTGTCCTTTGAGTGTCCCATCAGAGGTGTACCATCCAGCAGCAGGGACAAGGAGGAAAGGCCTCAGAGACAGATCTCCTACCGCAGGGGCGGGGCAAGGGGCCCGGTATGGATAACCTGGAGGGGGAGGCAGACCCGCCTAAACCCTGGGTTCCACCTAGAGGGCTCTGGAGGGCCGTGCGGCCTGAGACGCTGCCACTGAATGGGAACGCCCGCCCACCGGCGGATGGGACATTGGGCAGAACGAAGCCGGCCGGGGCGCCCGGGGGGCAGCGGGGGTCGTGGGGGGACCTGCAGAGGTCCGACAGCTTGGAGAGCCACCTGCACAGATGCGTGCAGAAGGACACGGGGCCGGGGGCTCCTCCGGGGGGGCTGTGGAGGGCTGACAGCTGGGAAAGCGTGTGTGGCAACGGCGGCTCTCTGACGTTGGCTGAAAGGGTAGAAATGAACAGAGGCATCCTCAGACGAATCCTCAACGAAGCCCAAAACAGCTACCGGGACAGCATCAGACAGGCACAGGACGTCTCCCAGGGCAACATCAGAGGTACGAAGTTGCCGAACAAAGGACGTATAACTCCGTATAACTGAGCAGCTGGCAGGTTTAGGAGACTGTTCCCATATAAATTTCATTGATGAAGTTGGATTTAAATGCTCAGTGAGACTGAACTGTGCCAGTTCGTTTACATGTGATCATTATCATTGCTGGATTACTCTGAAAGCTTGCTTGATTTGAGCGAGAAGAGCAGAGTGGGGAGGTGTCTCACAATATAAAACCCAGTGTGGAGAGGTAGTCTAAGAGAGGTCAGTGACGGGTAGGCTCTCTCACTTTCTCTCTCTCCTTCTCCCTCTCTGTGCTGCCCTCTCTCCTCCTCTCCCTGTCTCCAGGCAGCACCACCCTCAATGACAGTGACTGGGACTCGGGCATCTCCCTGCAGGACAGCGAGCACAGCCACAGGTGGGACACCCGGGGCTGAGTTTGCCCAGCACAGTGACACAGTGTTTACCTGTGCTAATGACACAGGGTTTTCCAAGCACAGCAATCTCCTGCGCTGATGCAAAGTTTACACATCATGGCAACCCCGTGTTCCAACAACACATAGAATAACCAGCCACAAAAAATAGCCTAATATAAAAGACAAATATTGACAACTGAGGGCAAAGTTGAGCCAATCAAATATCATTTGCTATCATTATACTTAAAGATATTTATTAAGGATGTTGTGTTCAATGGGTATAAATCATGTCAGAAAATAATTCATAATGCATTGATGTGATGTGAATGCTGAATATTAACAGGTCACTCTTTTTCATAAATGTCTGAGGCTGAAACAAAGCCCCTAACAATGTCATCATCAATGTCAGCAGCTATCTGCATCTGTGCTTCCAAAATATCCTCAGACTCTGCGAAGTTCCCAGCTGCACCCCGAGGAACCTTAAAACACCCCGCAAAACTGTCTTGCTCAGACTCCTGGTCACATCAGCTTTTAAACAGGAGCCCTAATGGACAATGACATGAAATAAAGCACTGTGTGTTCATAAAGGAAAAACAGGACACACATTTTCTGGGGCTGAGGATACGAGAGCTGTAACTCTGGCAGTGTTGCGGCAGGGTTGTAGGTAGGACAGTGGGTGTGGGGTGAGCAGTCTAACCCTATCACCCTTCCGTCAGCGTCTGTGCCTCACCCTCCCGAAGCCCTTACATAAGATGGCTTTAGACGATCCCCACGTCTGAAAGGCCATACCAAGCTCCTCTGTGCTCTAAGCCCCCAGATAACATATGGCAGTGTGCTGTAGAATATGTTACTAATTTTTCCTACTCAAATACCTAGACACAAGTGTCGAAAGCAGATTGAGATAATGCAGACTTTAGAGAGGAAAGCGTTCCCTTTTGTCTGTTCAGTTTAGCTTGTGGAAAAGAGACGATACAAGGTGTATTAAAGCAAAATGAATATCAAATCAATCAACATGTGAAAGAAGTCTATTGATGTGGACCATAAATAGAGGAGTGTATTCACTTCTCTCGCACACATAAACTCACTTTACCAACTCACAAACTCAAACCCACCTCATTTATGCGCACTAATGTGCACACACTCATACACACAGACACACACATGCATGCACAAACGCGCACACACCCTCATCATCCTGATTAGTGTTGACAGCCTAATCTCACTCTCTAAACACACACCACCATCGTCTACCACCGCCTCTCTTCCCCTGTCTCTCCGTTTCTGTCTCCCTCTCTCTCTTTCTCTTCGTGACCGACAGATCTGTCGTTTCCAGGGACGACCTGTCTCTGAGTCCGAGGCACGAGCAAGCCAAACGCATCCTTGAACGTGCACGCATGAAGACCCGGTCCAGCCCGGTCAAAGCAGACCACACCCTCTTACCTGTTCAGAGAGACAATGCGTAAGTCTGTCTGTCTGTCCACCCATCCATCTGCCTGTCAGTATGATGCCTCTGCTGTTTCAGGGGTGGCTTGGCTCTCTCATAGTAACAGACACTTCCTCCACCTGATCTCTCCCCACACCAAATCTTATCCACATCCAGAAAAAGAATTCAAATTCACATCAGTTTTATTGACATGACTAGACATTTGAGAAGTATTGCCAAAACATATAAAAAGCACGAAGGAAATAAAAACGTCACTAGCAATAATGGTTTAGGTGTATCTATTTCTCTCCTCTGGTAATATGTGATCCAAATTGTACACGCACTGTCCTTACTCAGTTTAACCATTTCTCTCCGTCTCCCCTACATATATGGAAATTTGATGAATATATAATAAAATGTAGTTCTACAAAAAGGAGGATGGAAATAATAAGTCATGATTATCATACTTCTTGCTGAAATCATCAAACACACATTTGCATATAACTATTAAACATTAATTCAGATGATGCATAGTCCATCTGTCTGTATGATTGAGTGGAAGGATGTCTGGAACAAAAGTAATGGTTGAGGATGGCAGTAAAAGTTATTTTCCTCTTACTCAGTCTCTCCAGTCTATTAAAGCGTCATGCAGGCGAGCTGGAGTTATGCAAGAGATGGGCAAGGATGGCCATCTCACAGTTTCGGTATTACGTCTTTGCTTTCATTGGAGCTCCTGCACATTCAGAGAAATATAAGACCCATTCTCCAGAGATTTCCCTCTGTCTTATGAGTTCTCAAACAATAATCATCAGATATCCTCATCTGCAAGAATATTTCCATATGAGGACATTAAAATGAACTAATCTAAATGGCGGGATTATTTTAAATGGCTGTTTTTGTCCTAAACCCCACTTTCATTTGAAAGCCGTTCAGACCAATGAATAGCCATTGGATGATGTGAAATAATGGTAAATCATGACTGCCATCGTCATGCCTGAATCTGAACACAATGTGAAAGGATAAAATGCTCATTTCTATGACACCCTCAGAATAAGAAACAAAAATAAAATGAAATGAAGGATTTACAAAATATGGGTCTGAGCGCAGCTGTGCTATAATAATAACGTTGTAACACATATGATAATAACATTATTTTATAATGATAATAATAATATAATAATGCTTGTTTTATATGGCTGTTTTGTAGTACTACTAAATACTACTACTAAACATCATTCCTAATAGTAGTAGCGCTAGTATTATTATTATTATTATTACTATTATTATTATAGCTCCACCAAAGTAATATACAGCAGCCATTTTGTGCCAGCACACTTGCCACACCTCGGCTGAGGTGCAGAGGGAGGGATTTAAAGGGCCAGTTGAACTGGTGCATGATTACCCAGATTGAGAAAGCCAGATTGGGAATCTGGCCAGAGCAGCAGAGTTAATTCCCCCTACTCCCTGCGATAAGAGCCATGGGATCTTTAATGACCGCATTGAATGAGGACAGTTTAAGGCCTAATCCAACGCCAGGAGGTGCCCTCAGCCAAATAAATGTTCCAGGAAGAGAGACAGGGTGTCGCCTCCGAAACCTTGCCGGTGTTTACCCAGCATGCCCCCCCCGTGTGGAACAGAGAGGACTGTGGTGCAGTGCAGGGCGGCAGTGTAGCACAGTGGTAAGGTGCAGGGCTTGTAACCGAAAGGTTTCCGGTTTGATTCCCCACTTGGGCACTGCTGCTGTTCCCTTGGGCAAAGTACTTAACCCACAAATGCCTCAGTAAATATCCAGCTGTATAAAAGGATAATATGTGAAAACTGTAACCTATGTAAGTCACTCTGGATAAGAGCATCTGCAATACAACAATAATGCGATGTAATGTAATGCAGCGGACAGTGTGTGAGTGCTAACTGTGGCCGTGGCCTCTCCTGCAGGGTGTCGCTGTCAGTGTCCGGAGCCCCCTGGTACACGGACTCTCTCCGGGTGAGGGACGGCCTGGCGGTGGTGTCCGGCAACCTGAGCGACTCCTCCAGCGGAGACTCGGCGTGCGGCTCGCGCCGGCGCCCGGGCCACTCCCCGACGCGCGTGCGCTTCCAGGACGAGTCCGAGCGGGAGGCCGAGGCCCGCTACCTGGAGCGGCAGCAGCGGGCGCGGCCCCGGACCAGCGAGAGGGGGCAGGGCCCGCTCGTGTCCAAGCCCCGCCTCTCCTCCTACATCAGAGGGCTGCGGGAGGGAGACGGGAGCCCAGAGGGAACGCCCTCGTCGAGCAGGAAGAAGAGGGCGACCCACGGGGAGCTGCACGGGGGCACTCACAGAGACAAGCTGCAGGAGGTGATGAGCAAGAAGTGCGGCTCCTGCGGGACCTTTTTAGAGGGCGTCGTGGCGTCCCACTTGAACCTCGTCGCTCAGGCCGCCCCTGGAGACGCGGGGTCACGAAGTCAGGTGATACCACGCTGGATAACCCCCGCCCGCCCGAACAGCTCGGAGCAGATAAAGGAGACCCACATCGGAGAGGTGACTGACGAACCCCGCAAAACCAGCCACAGCCCGGCTGGAGAGACGCAGAGCGGGGGTGCTGGCGGTGCGGGCCAAATCATATCGATTTTGGCCACGTCAAAAAGGAAGTGTTTAAAAAAAGAGGACGGAGGACTGGAGGAGGGGCAAAGTCCCTCAGAACCACAGGGGCAAAATGCGGGCGTTCCCAGCTACCGGCCGACCCCGCCTGCCAAAGACCGGAGCAGTCTGGGCCTGAACCTGAAGGAACAGACCACTGTGCTGAACAGGGGGGAGGATAACCCCTCTCTTCTGAGCCCCCACTCCCCGGTCTCCCCCCTCAGGAACTTACAGCTCAAGGCCCACCCTGAAATCACAGGTCAGCCAAAACAACAAGCCCCCAAATCACACGGTGTAAACACCCTGTATAACCCAAAACCCCAAACACACATTTGATCAATCTGGAGCACATTGTCTACCCACAACACCACATTGCTGTATACCCTCTATCTCAGGAAAACACCAGTGTCAGCTGTTATAAGAATTAGGAGTGATACACTCTCAGTTTCTTTGAAGTGAAGACAGATTCAGACATATACACATAAAACCACAAAGCCTTCTCACACGTACAGACACAGATACATGTATGCATGCACACACATGTGCTCAAACACTCACTCAAAAAACTCACATAGACTCAGTCACTCAAACACACACATACACGCACACACACACACACACACACACACACACACTCAGCTTGGTGTTGTATATAGAGCCCTCTCCTGTTATCTCCTCTCCATGTGTAGGTCAGCACCTCCAGGCAAACGGAGACTGCCAGGATGAGGCTGGTCTGTGGGTCACTGTGCCCCTGGAGAGTCCCTCAGGGTACCAAGGGATGCAGTGGGCTGAGCACCAGCTGGAGGACGACACCAAGCCTGTACAGTGAGTACCCAGAATCCTCTCTGCTCCACTTCCACTGCCGTCACCCCAGCAGAGTCTGGGTCAGCTGTGAGAGAGATCACATCATCCTCCCTAGACTGGAACAGTTTCAGTTTGACACAAAATTCCCTCAATGATGAAAAGAATCGTGCCCTTTTGGAGCACGATGGCTTCAAACATAAAGAGATTCTAACCCTGACAGAAACTCTTTTAAGATCATTTATAATCCCGTAATACATTTTCCAGTGTCACAGAACATTTGTGTAAAGAGGATAAGAGTGCTGAAACATATTGAGGTTGAAGTCAATCTCTGAGCTAGCGCCTGGAGATTCTGTGAAGAATGTGACGTAGGTTGGCAGCAGCGATTTAGAGACTGGTTATAGACGATCACAGTTATTAAAGAGACAAGAACGTTCCTATGATCGTGAACTCTAGGACGACGTCGCCCTCTACTGGCCACAAATCTGAAAGTGCATGCTGCTCGCAAAAAATATATATACAGTATATATCATGGAAGTGTGGTTTGCAAAACATTTATCTCATTTAGCGATGTCTCTCCCTTTATTTTACCTTCGTCTCTTCTCTGTTTCCAAGTACACTGGACCCACACCGCAGAGCTGTGATCGAGCGCTCCGGTGCACGGGACGGCAAACCCAAGCTGTCTCTGCGTCGGATCTTTTCTGCCATCGGGCTGACTGGCACCGGCTGGCTGCGCCAGGGTCACTCCAGCGGCTCGGAGCGGCTGAGCTCGTCTCCCAGACACGGCTCCCCCTGCCCAAGCCCCAACCCCAGCCCCCGCGGGCAGCTGAAAAAAACGCCGTCGCTGCAATCAATGGCAAAGGTAAGTTCCTCCCCCACAACCAACCAGCTCAGTCTCAGAGAGCCATCAGAACAAGTTTAAGTTTATCATTATTTTTGTTTATATTACTTGGCTTATTGTTTGCATTTTAACTTCATTTAACTTATTATCACAGCGATGCTCGCATTTGGAAGTCGTAATGTAATGTTAATGTAAACTTATTTGTACTGTCATGTTTACTCTGTTAATTAAAGAGAGATGTGGGAAGGGAGGGTTGATATGAGGGAAGCATGAAAAGTAGTTCAGCTTCATCGTTTTCTGAAGACGAATACAAGTGCAATCGGTGGTTTCTGCAATACAATCCAGAATTATGAAGCTATTTTTGAGAGGAAGCGGGAATCAATCAATGATTTTACATAAATAAGCAGTCGTTGATATCCGATGTTTTGACTGCTGCAATTTTACCTTTGCAACAGCAGGGGGTGCCCATTATCCAGCTTCGGCGAGCCTCCTCAGTGCAGGAACTGCCGCTTCTCAAAGTGAGGGAAGAGTATGCCGCTGAGAACAGGCTAGGGGCGCAGCTCCACAGCCCCGACAACAGGTAGCGCATATCCGCTACACACTCGAATACATGCACCCAAACTGAGTCGTCCTCAATTAACCACAGGAACACAATAAGTTTTATCTTAAGGCTGGTCAGCCAAACTAGCAGTCTAGAGGGTATCTTGGTCAGCCAAACTACTAGTCTAGAGGGTATCTAGCACTGGTCAAGCCTGGTCTTGAATGGTCTCTACTTTTACACCAAATCCTAATGAACTTACTCTGCGCACTTACGACTCTCTGACAAAAATACTTCCTAATTACAATCACATAGATATGCATTACCCTCTCACACAGCTCCTGTCACTTTGCTTTGATGGTCACTTTTCATCACCCAAGGAAAAGAAATACCAATTCTGAATCCTGCAGGCTGTGGAAATGGCCAATGCCTCCATCCTCTCTCTTGAATGCACTCAGCAACACCCTGCTTATGACAAGGACGTTCTGTCAACCTTGGTGCTGAGGGAAACATCTAAAGCATGTCACAGGGTCATAGCCACGTTCTTCATGTGTCTCTTCAGGAGTGAGACATTCTGGAATGCTTATAGCTGAAGAGTTTGTGGTGTAAAAAAAACAACCATTTCAGATATTGCAATATTAGTGTTGTTTCAGACAGATTTGCCCGTGCTGTATGTCTTAAGGGCACTTAAAAGAATAAAGGACTATCTAAAGATTGATTCAATGCTGCTGGAAAAGAATACATCAGACAGGGGCAACATATAGGCAAACACGATCAAATCAATAATTGAATGAGTTTTGTTTTATTAGAGTTGATTTTTGTCGTGTTGATCATTTGTAACTCAGATGCACCGAGTTAAGTTATGTGTGCACTTAAACATTGTGAATGAAACCTTCCAGCAGCCAGAAGTTAGCCCTTGGTGGTCGTGGTGGTGGTGGTGGGAGGGGGTTGGGGGGAGGTGCTTGAAACGGCTCCAGGATGTTTGGTATGCGCACACAGCCGGAGTGTTGTGCAACCCTCGGAATACTTCCCATTCCTCCTGTTTGCAGAGGCGTCTGTAGTTACCCTAAGAGCAGCACAGCTGGGCCTAATAAAAGGGGAAGAATGCTGAAAACGAGCCGCAGTCACTGTGGTGGAATGTCCTCACAGCATGTCAATATCAAGCGTATCTGCATGTGTGCATACCTGATGTTTGGATGTGCTTCTTTGTGTGTGTGTGTACGTGTGTGTACGTGTGTGTGTGTGTGTGTGTGTGTGTGCGTGCGCACCAGTAGTGACATTAGAGAGTGTCAGTGCTGAAGGGCTGGAAGAGAAAATTCTGTTTGTTATGACTAAAGATGAAAAGCTTACATCACCATCCTGAGGAGCCAATTATATATTCAACAGAGGAACACTGTAATAATGAGAGCATAAATGCAGAACATTGTGCAGTGTGGAGCTGGTGATGCAGGCGAGTATAGTTCCTGCTCAGCCTTCATCTTCTCTACTTCAATGTGATTCTTCTCATGCAGCAGCTAACATGTCTTGAATCTGCAGGAAAAGACACAACTATTTAGCAGGTCTTCGTATTCCGTCTGACTCACATATCAGCCATTATCCACATTTCCCATTGACACAGGGAATTATTCAAGTGACTCTGGTTGAGTATTTTGCTCAAATACATGCCATGGATTGTCTCCTGCAAGCATCTGGCTGAGTCCAGTTCTCTGTCCCCTGCAGCTCAGATCAACAATGCACAGATATGAAAATTACATTTATCATATTACAAATCAGTCTGTGCAGTCTGTATCGTATGTGTCTGTGTGTATGTTTTTTGTCCCCTCTCTCCTGACTGTGGCTTCTCTGTGACTTCCTATGTCCAGGAGGGGGCTCCAGCGAGCTCTGAGCGTGGAGGACGTTGGCCGGCCTAGCGGGGCTCGGTCTGTGGGGCGGGTCGCCCAGGCCTT